CTTGACATTTCGCTGGGCCTGGCTCCTGGGCTTGCTGGAAAGGAGACAGACAATGAGGGGAAGTCAGATAGTGGGGCAGGCGGTCGGGGGGGAAGCCACCCATGGAGTTATCACTTAACGGGAATCCCGCACTGGAAGGAAACCTCGGCTGATTCCTTATCACCCTGCAGTGTGGAGGCCGATGATGAATTGCTATTTGTTGTCTCCCGGGCAGGACAGACAGAGCGTGGCTGGAATGTCCCCTGTCACGGGGAGCTCCCCTTTCGGGGATAGAGGGAGGTGAGAAGGGCAGAAGTTTCTGGAAGGGTGAAAGGTCTTCTCCAGGGTGCACACCCCACGCACCCTGACTCCACAGGCCTCTCGGAGTGAACCTCGGGCCGGGCCACTCACTAGCTGGGTGACTTTGGACAGGCTCGTCAATCTCTCCAAGCCTCAGTTTCCGAATCCCTGGAAAAGGGGGTAATTCTCCACCTTGTTATCTCCAATCAGTCACCAAGGCCCGGTCCCACCCACACCCCAGTCTGAACCACTGTCTCCTGCCTCCGACCCTACAGCGGCCTCTTAACAGGTCTCCGGTGTCAACCTGAGTCCCCTCCTGTCGCAGCAAAGGACTGCTTCAAAACAAAAGACTTAATCAGAGACAGTGTGCAATCTTGTCTGGCTCCAGTTCTGAGTGGGAATGGTTTCAATGTTTCCCCATTCACTATGATATTGGCTGTGGGTTTATTGTACATGGCTTTGGTAATTTTAAGGTATGTCCAGTCTATGACCATTTTGTTAAGAGATTTTATCATAAAGATTAAAAAATTTTTTTAAAAGACTTCATCACATCACTCGCAAGCTTAAATCCCTGCCATGGCCACCCATTGCCGTTAGGGTAAAAGCTGAGGCCCTTCACTGAAATGGTTTCTAAGGGCTGGCATCATGCTGGACCCTGCCTCTCTCGCTGGCCCTCATCCGCCACCACCGTGCCCTTGCTCTGGGCACCAGCGTGCCAGCCTTCTGCTCACTCCGCGGAGAGGGCAGGCTTCCCCGCACCCGATGGGCTTCATGCACGCTTTGCTCCGCACCTGGACACCCACGCACCTCCCCTTCTCCTACTCAGCACTCACTCTTCCTCTAATCTCAGCTCCAATTCTTCCCCATCTCCCACCCCACACCCACACTCCAGTTGGGGATCCGTTAGCACTTAGCCTATCTCCTTGATAGCATTCGATCACACTTTTAATTAAACAGTTACATAATTACATGCAAGATGTTGGACCTGCTTGTGACAGTGTGGGCTTCTCAAGGGCAAGATGGTGGCTAGCAAATGCGCATCGAGCACTCACAGGTGCCACTCACAGGTGCCACTTTCCGAGGATGACCTCATTTCATCTCGTCGCAACCCTACGGGTATCCTGCATTTTTGCACAAAAGATAGATGAAGCCCAGAAAGGTGAAGCAACTGGCCCATGGTCCACACACCTGCAAACTGTCAGCCTCTGTGATTATTTCTGCAATGAACTGGCCACCAATTCCAGCTCCCCCAACGGCCGCCGCAGGTTGCACTTAAGTTCACCTGAGAATCCTGCATGCCCCATGAAAGTCAATGGCTCACATCACCTCAGAGGTTTACGAACCTTCCATTCAAAGCCTTCCCACTACATCCCCCAGGAAGGCACCTATAAAGCATGCTGCTGTAAATATTGAACCGAAAAAGCACCTTGATTCTTTTCAACTTCTTCATCCCTTTTCTTTTGGTCTGGCATTAATTTCGTCGACGGAGCTCTCTAATGCAAACCTGGTGAGCTCTTAATCGGCATGTTGGACCCAGTTTCAAAAGCAGCTTTCTAGTGGGAGATGAAATTTGGGGGTTGTAGCTGATAAGTAGGGTAACGGAGAGAGTATGGAGCAGTTAAGGGCACAGGTGTAGTGTTTACAGACCAGGCAGGGCTTGGGTTCAAATTCCACCTTTAAGAACCATCAGCACATTTTTTTTAACCTTTCTGAGCCTCAGTTTCCCCATTGGTGAAGTGGATGAATATTAGCACCTACTGAATAGTGTTGAAAAGGCTTGGTCTGGGGCCTAGGTAGAAAGGGCATCCTTGAGTATAATATAAAACATAATCTCCGTGTGCAAGCACTCGTGTTGCGTGGGACACCCTTAACCTCCTGCTGGTGCCTAACGAGGCAGGCACGTTTGCAGCCATCTGGTCTCCAGCCCGGCCAGCAGTGGACGTGCCGGGAGTCGGGCCAGGGGGTCTGTTGGGGAGGTGTTGTTCAGACCTTCGCGATCCAAGCAGTCTGGATGGGCTTCAGGTAAGTCCAGAAGTCAGGCTCCACCCAGCTCAGCTTCTCAGCCCCCGTGCTCAGACCCACGCAAAACGCAGGATCGGGAATTGTCAGAGTCAAACTGTGTGGCCTTCCTCACGTGACCCCAGCTCCAGAAGAAGCTGCCGGAGCATCCACTTCCACTGGTTCTTGTGGGTGAGTCGTTTTTCCTAAAGATCCAGGCGTTGGGCACCGGACTTCCAAAGGCCTTGTGTTGGCTCCTGAGGCTGTGCCGTACGACAGGCCAAGATTCAGGCCTTTTAGAGCAAAAACAGCATCTCCTCACTTAATCAGCCCTGAGCCAACACATGGCATGCATGATTTTTTGACATCTTTGCACCAAGCATAGGAGACAATTCCTACCATGAGCCCAAATTTATAGTTTTTCTTTTTTTTTTAAAAAAAAGAGGCTTACAAAGGTTAAGTAACTTGTCCCTACTCACAAACATTTGAAAACAGCAAAGGTGGACTTCATCTTGATTGATTGATTCTGCAGACCACAGATGAGAGCTCTAGACTACACTGCCCATTTTGCATTCATCTTCTCGACCTCTGACCTAGAGGAGCACCTTCTCTCTGCTTCCTCCTGGCTCTTTCCTGCCTTTCGGAACAATCTCTCTCACTTATCCCATCACAGCTACCACCTACTAGGTGCTTACCAAGTATCAGACACTCTAGGAAACGTATTGCCATTTACAAAGTGGGAAACTGAGGCTCAGAGGGGCTAAGACACCCGTGTGAGGTGAGGTCACACAAGAAGCAGGTGGCAGAGTCAAGGTTTGAATCGCTGTACCTCTGTCCCCACTGTCTGCACTCTCCCCAGTGTGCAGCTCACGCCAAGCAATTGTTCTAGCGAGCTGAGCTCGCCCACACCACCTGTGCCAACCACGTGAATTCCGGCTCGCAAAAAGAGCCAGCAGAAATCTCCTGTTTTAGCATAGCTCCTTCAGACTCAGGTGACTTAGGGAAAAAGTCATCAGACACTAGCTTAGCAGATTTATAGAGGGGATGAGAAGGAAGAAAATCAGTTGTGTGTGGTTACTGGTTTTGATCTGGAAAGGGAAAGAGTGCCCAGAAGCCACCTGGGAGAGAAACACCCGCACATGCACCAAGGAGACATTTATAGCTACAAGGAGGTTCCCTGCCTCGTGGCTTGGAATACAACCAGCGACCAACCCCCCTGCCTACTAGCGGGGGTGGCCAAATAAACTCCGTTTTATCCTTTCCAACCAATTCTCCCTCTTTAGCAGTTAAAAAAAAAATGAGGCCGTCTAGGTTCATGAAAAGATATCTAAAACACATTCTACAGTTTAAAGGGGGAAAAAACGAGCTGCAAAATCCATACAGTGGGCTTTCATCTATGTTAAAAGTAAAAAAAAATCTGCTCTGTGTGTGTGTGCACACATGTTGTGTGTGTGTGCGTGCGTGTGCATGTTGTGTGTGTGTGTGTGCATGTGGGCTGTATATGTATGCATGTGGGGGATGTGTATATGGTATGTGTGTGCATGTGGGCTGTGTGTATATATGTGGGGTGTGTGTGTATGCATGTGGGCTGTGTGTGTGTGCATGTGGGGTATGTGTGTATGTGGTGTGTGTGCATGTGGGCTGTGTGTGTATGCATGGGGGCTGTGTATGTATGCATGTGGGCTGTGTGTGTATGCGTGTGGGGTGTGTATGTATGTGGCGGGTGTGCATGTGGGCTGTGTGTGTATGCGTGTGGGGTGTGTGTGTGAATGTGGGCTGTGTGCATGTGTTGATTGTGTGTATGTGATGTGTGTGCATGTGGGCTGTGTGTGTATGCGTGTGGGGTGTGTATGTATGTGGCGGGTGTGCATGTGGGCTGTGTGTGTATGCATGGGGTGTGTGTGTGCATGTGGGCTGTGTGTGTGTGCATGTGTTGGGTGTGTGCATGTGTTGATTGTGTGTATGTGATGTGTGTATGCATGTGGGCTGTGTGTGTGTGCATGTGGGGGGTGTGTATGTGGTGTTTGTGCATTTGGGCTGTGTGTGTGTGCATGTGGGCTGTGTGTGTATGCATGTGGGCTGTGTGTGTGTGTATGCATGTGGGGTGTGTGTGTGTGCATGTGGGCTGTGTGTGTGCATGTGGGCTGTGTGTATGCATGTGGAATGTGTGTGTATGTATGTGGGCTGCGTGTGTGTGCATGTGGGCTGTGTGTGTGTGCATGTGGGGTGTGTGTGTGCATGTGGGCTGTGTGTGTATGCATGTGGGGGGTGTGTATGTGTGCATGTGGGCTGTGTGTGTATGCATGTGGGCTGTGTGTGTGTGTGTGTGCATGTGGGGTGTGTGTGTATGCATGTGGGGTGTGTGTGTATGTGGTGTGTGTATGCATGTCGGGTGTGTGTGTGTGCATGTGGGCTGTGTGTGTATGCATGTGGTGTGTGTGTGTGTGGCGTGTGTGTGCAAGCATGCATAAGTGAACACAATAGGCCTGGACACTCTAAATAAGTTTTCTCCAAGGAAGGGGCTGGAGGTAGGGGGAGACAAGCCAAGGGGACCTTTAGTTTTACCTGTATGGTTTGAATTTCTTACAATCTCTATGCATTTTTGTGTGGCTTACATTTTTAAACAAATAAATGTCACTGAATAAATGAATATATACTCTCCCCCCTCCACCCAGAACAGGCAGGAAGAGGAAGGGGGACTCGCCGGGGGCTCTCGCACTCACCTTTCCTCTTGGTGCAATGGTAAATCTGGCCGTGCTCCTGGGGCAGGGGGTACGGGTTGGGTGGGGGTAGCAGGTCCTGGGAGGGGCCCGAGACGCCATTCTCACACTGGTACTGGGACCCCAAATTGGACGAGGCGGAGAGAGCGCGAGACTCACTGCTGAAAGGACTGTGGTTGGAGGCCACTTTCTGCCTCACTGTGCTCCTGGGAACCACGGGATATTCTTTACTGAAAGAGAGAAGATGAAAAGTAACATTTATCAATGCCCCAATAGAGATGCCCTGAGTTACCGAACCACGCATCCAAGAACCCACCAAAACTTTGACAAGCAAAGTGATCCAGTTGCATTTATGTCCATCACATTCCACGGACATATATTTGGACACTTAACTTTTCATGCCTTATATATACCAGGCGAGTAGATTTGCTGATAGTCCCGTAATCCTAGCACTCTGGAAGCCAAGGCGGGAGGATTGCTTGAGGTTAGGAGTTTGAGACCAGCCTGAGCAAGAGTGAGACCCCGTTTCTACTTAATAAATAAATACATACATACATAAATAAAAATTTTCAAAAAGATTTACTGATTTAAATTTTTTTAAAAAATGATTTCTGCATATGTATATTTCTATACATATGCAGAAAGATAGATGAACATCCCCAATTAAGAATCCCTCTATACATCTACTTGAAATTGCTTAAAAAAAAAAAAAAGAATCCCTCTTAAAGATCAATAAACACACATAGCATTTTGAAATTTGTCAACCTAGTCTATATATCTTTGATTTCTCTGATTCAAAAGCTACATGTGCTGAGCAGTTATTCATAATTAACTTCTGGGTGTCTATCATTAAAACAGGGCTGAGGTCTTTGCCCAAAGTTAGTAAAAAACGGTAGCTGAGTACCTAGGATAGTCAGGTGTGATCCTAGGTTACTGTAATCTGGATATATTGCTACTTGTGTCTTAGAATTTCCTTCTGAGCTGCTGTCCTTGTGGCCACTGATGTATTTAACTTTTCCATGCCTTGGATTTCCCTCCAAAACGGGGATCATAAATGTCTCCAGTTCAGACGGTAATTGAGAGAATAAATGAGTTAATCCGTGAAAAAGACTTAGAAAGGTATATGGCACATGGCTAAGTGCTCAACAGATGGCAACCGCCATCGTTATTGGTATGGCTTTGGGGGAAGCGAATAGAGGGAGGGAGAAAGGAGAGGGCAAGAGACAGAGGGAAGGAAGAAAAAGGACAAAAAAGATAAAAGCCACAGCCTAGGATACAGAAAGCTGAAGCTTAGAGATATTAGGGGCTGCATCAGTGAGTAATGGAGCCGGAATCTGAGCCCAGATCTCTTTGATTGCAGAATGCACACTTCGAACCACCATCATCACTCTATTTGGTCACTGATCCCAAATTCTATGAATTTGGAGAATGTCATTTCTTATAATATTATGCTTAATTTTGAACTTAATTTTGATCAGAATTCAGTTGATTGTATTTCAGTTAAGCCATTTGTAATTTATTAAAGTCAAAGAAATTACAGGCTGACTCAAGGAAATATTTGGTTCCTTAAATATAAAATAGTTTCTTTTTTTAAAAGTGAAGATGTTGCCAGGCACGGTGGCTCACGCCTGTAATCCTAGCACTCTGGGAGGCCGAGGCGGGCGGATTGCTCGAGGTCAGGAGTTTGAAACCAGCCTGAGCAAGAGCGAGACCCCGTCTCTACTATAAATAGAAAAAAATTAATTGGCCAACTAATATATATAGAAAAAATTAGCCGGGCATGGTGGCACATGCCTGTAATCCCAGCTACTTGGGAGGCTGAGGCAGGAGGATTGCTTGAGCCCAGGAGACTGAGGTTGCTGTGAGCTAGGCTGACACCACGGCACTCACTCTAGCCTGGGCAACAAAGAGAGACTGTGTCTGAAAAAAAAAAAAAAAAGTGAAGATGTTTTCCCAATCAAGATGGCAATAGAAAACGGATGTGGGGCCAGGCGTGGTGGCTCGTGCTTGTAATCCTAGCATGTTGAGAAGGTGAGGAGGAAGGGTCACTTGAGGTCAAGAGTTCAAGTCCAGCCCCAGTGAGACCCCATCTCTACAAAAAATAGAAAAACTAGCCAGGTGTGGTGGTGCACACCTGTACTCCCAGCCACTTAGGAGGCTGAGGCAGGAGGATTGCTTGAGTCCAGGAGTTTGAGGTTTCAGTGAGCTTTCATGATGCCACTGCACTCCAGCCTGGATGACAGAGCAAGACCCTGTCTCAAAAAAGAAAGAAAAGAAAAAGAAAGAAAAAACAGATGTGAAGGAAGAAAAATGATCTGACTACTCAAAGTGTGGCCTGTGCCTGGCAGTGTGGACAGTACCTGGAATCCTTTGAGAAATGCAGAAGCTCAGGTCCACCCAGATCTATGGGATCATCATCTACATTTTAACAAGATCCCCAATGTTCTCCACCCTGGTTACACTTCAGAATCCCCTGTCTGCTTTGTGTGTGTGTGTGTGGTTGTGTGTGTGTGTGTGTATGTGTGTGTGTGTGTGTAAATTTAAGGGGTCCAAGTGCAATTTTCTTCCTTGGATATATTGTGTACTGGGGAAATCTGGGCTTTTAGTGTATCCATCACCCAAATAATATACATTGTACCCGATAAGTCATTTTTCATCCCCTCCACTCCCACCCCTGTAATCTATGTACTTTATTTCATGCATTTAATCACATTATTCTGATAAGTGATCCATGGGCTTCAAAACACTGCCAGGGAGGCCCATGGCATTAAACAGGCTAAGATCCTTTTCCCTGGAAGGAATATGTATCAGTAAATCCCAAACCTCAGTCTGCTGAGATTTTTGCCATGACCCATAACCAACTACTCTTTATCCTATTACACTTTTTAAATTAACCTTTTGCCCAAATAAGTTTAGCCTTGCTACAAGTGATAATATCTGCAAAATTATGAGTTTGTGGTACTAATTACCGTTCCTTCAATACAATTAAAATAAATGCTTAACTGTTACAATCAAAGAGCACACCTGAAATCATGGCACATACAGAGCTACACGTAACACCTTTTGAAGGTTGATGCATTAGCTCACTCTATCCTTTCTGTGACTCTATGACGTAGGGATTGGTTTTGTTCCCATTTTACAGATTAGGAAACTGAGGTCCAGGGAGACGAAGCAACTTGCCCAAAGTCACAGAGCTAGAAAGGGACACAACCAGAATTCAAACCCAACCATCTCCTAATTACTTCTATACTCTTCCCTAATTACTTCTTTCAAGTTTTAAAACACAGCATGCTTTTAGGGGAGCCAGAGTTTGGGGCCCAAGACTCCCTTCCCACTTCTTGTATCCCTCAGGGGTGTGAGCAGCCCCACTCCATGCCCTTGTTTTTGTTTGTCCTGCGAAAGCACGTCAGAGTGGCCGAGCAGGGGACAGCAATGTCTGCCAAGTTTCCACAAGGCTGCAGACACCCTCATAGTACCCAGGGCTGCCCTCGCCCCGTTTTCTTGTGGTGCGCACCATCTCCGAACCAAACTGGAGCCACCCTAAGTAGCCACAGCAGTCAGAATCTTCCCCTGGGGCCAGGAGGCTGAAAGGAATGAAATTAGCTTTATAGCTCTCGCTTTGTGGTTCAAGCTACGTAATGGAAAAAAAAAAAAAAAGAAGAAGAAGAAAAATTATAATAATAATAATAAAACATTATAAAAGTTGTCAAACCTTGCTGGCAATTCTATTCAGGTCTGCTCAATTCAAGTGCTGAGCTGTCAGAGTGCCAATAGGAAGGGGGAAAAAAATCTCTTTTGGTTTTATATTTTTAATGAGGATGGTTATTTTTTTTTAATTAAAGAAAATAACCCCTAAAAAATGTTGGCTGAGAGAATTTACAAGAGAATGTATCAATGGACTCCGTGGAATTCTCCACTCCAGTGCTGCCAGATTGCAAAATTACTCTCTGGAAAGGCCACATTCTGCTTTTGATTACTAACACTCACAGAAGTGGGAAAGCAATATTATCCCAATAACCACTTGCCCCTCACAGCCTGTTTCTCTCCGAGGAGCCTGAAACATCATCCCCGCCATCAATCACAAACATCTCTTTTAGTGCCGTGTTCCCTAGCCCATCGGACGCGTGTCGAAGCGTGGGCACGGAAGGGTAAAGTGACTTCCCGATCGGTACACAGTCACAGAGACAAAAAGGAGAAAATGCTAGAACCAAACAACAGCGGGTGCTTTTCAGTGAGCTCAGCCACGGATCGGTCAAAGGAACAGTCAGTCCAAGGTCCATGGCTAGTTACCCATCCAGCAGAAATCTGCAAAGTCTTTGTGATGAGAAGATAAACTATTTTCCTCTGCAGCTTTAGGGCATCATTGCTGAAGAAGCAAGGGCAGCAGAGAATTAAAGTGAAAGTTGAAAAGCCCACGCATCTCTGGGTTTTCATCATCCTTGTCAGTGTCCTCATTTTCCTCCTCCTCATCCATGCCACTTTGTGTTTTGTTGTTGTTGTTGTTGTTGGGTTTTTTGTTTGTTTGTTTTTTGAGACAGGGTCTCACTCTGTCACCTCGGCTACAGTGCAGTGGCGTCAGCCTAGCTCACGGCAACCTCAAACTCCCGGCCTCAAGTGATCCTCCTGCCTCAGCCTCCCAAGTAGCTGGGACTACAGGTGCATGAGACCACGTCTGGCTGTGTTTTCTATTTTTTGTAGAGACGGAGTCTCACTCTTGCTCAACTCGAACTCCTGACCTCAAGCGATCCTCCCACCTTGTCCTCTCAAAGTGCTCGGATTACAGGTGTGAGCCAGTGTGCCTGGCCATACTGTTCTTAAAGTGCCTCCTGATGTTCCAGCCTCCATGCTGGTTGACTTACATGCTCTGCCTCGTTTGATGCTGGCAAGAACTTTATTTCATGGGCACAAGTAGGCTTGCTTTAGTGATAAGGAAATGCAAGCTCGGAGAAGTCTTGTCCCAGATCACACAGCTAAGAGGTAAGACTGAGCTTCCCCCAGGGTCAGTCCGATTCCAACACTCCTGCCAACTAACTAATACTTGCTAATAGGGAATCGCTTCCTGCACACCAACTGCTCTGCAAACACAACCACCTGCTATCTAAAGCAGGGTGGTAATGACAGAGTTGGATATTGGCGACACCAGGGCGATGTCAAGATCTACCAGGCGATGCTACTGTTTGCAGAGCCTTGAGTTTACCAAACGTCACATCTCACCGATGCTCTCTGCTGC